ATAATAATAATAATAATAATAATCTTTTGTGCTGTAATTCATTAATCCTGTAATTTTTCTTATTATGTCTAAATATCTCGTGACCCAATAATTCAAATCGGGTGATTTTAATATCATTTGATTCGTCTTTAAGATGATACCCAAATTATTCGAGTATAACCAATAAAATCATACGTTACAGATCACTTTAGATACGCGAGATGTTCAGGTTATAAATTTTGATTGGCTTAAAATAGAAAGAAGCATTGGAACATCAGTTGGACGGAATCCTTTTGGTCTTTTCTTCTTCATAGAAAGTTCTCGGCTTCAAATGGTAATTAAATAATTAATTCAATTTTTTTTTATACGTATTTACCCCTATCACATTAAATTATATATACATAATAAGGACAATATCTACATTATTATACTTTTATGTAATTAGTCAGAGCACAGCCGGTTAGGTGATTATGGAAATAGACCTGTACATGGTCGTGATAATTTTAATTGCAAAGACTCGTTTATATCTAGTACTGTTTGTGCGTAATACTAATTTTTTTTTTTTATACGCATACATACATAAATACGTATATATTTTTACATATATTTTTACATATAAATATTTTTACATATATATATTTTACATATATATATTTTACATATATATATTTTTATATATATCTTTTACATATATTTTTTTATATATATTTTTTACATATATTTTTTTATATATAATAATAAACCAGTCAAAATCAACTATTTTATTTGTTAAATTCAAATGATTGTATTACGTTAAAATTTTGCCAACTTATTCAAATACAGTATATAAAATTGCTTACGAAAATTTTAAAGAAATGATTAGTAATCCAATTAAATACGTACGCGTTGAAAATTTCGGGTAAAAAAGGGGTCGTATGATATAATTATTGTATTTTTTTTTTTTAAATATGTAAAACACAATACGTCATATCATTTATTCAGTAAACTAATAAAAAATGACATAATTTGGAAGGTACGCCATTCACTTTCCATTTGAATCACGTACCGCGTATTTTAATACGTAAAGAAAAAATATAATTCGGAGACAAACGCCAAATTTAAAATATTGTTCGTAAATCGTTAATAATTTACATATTTAAAAGATTTGCGTGACAATTATTTATTCTAAGAATTATTAAAACGCGTGAAATTAGAATATCACGTAGTTTTTTTTTTAAAAAAAAAGTGACATCAAAGATAACTATTTGTTTATCCTTTGTCACTCATAATACTTTTATAATACTGTAATGTTTAAAAAAAAAAAAAATTATTGTCGAATCACAAAATTGACATATATATCAAATGTATAATTCTAGAATTGTACAGTAAAACTTGTTCAACATTTTGTAATATGATATTCCGGAGATAACTTTATATAGTTGGGAGAACCGCACCTACATATGGGAGTTTCCCCGATAAAAAATTTGACAAACAAACTTTCGATTTGTATGCTATGTATGATGCAATAATTATGCTTCATTCTATATGCATGCCGAATAATCATGACGCGAAAAAGTAGAAATGATAATTGTATTCAAATTACTTTTTTTTTTTGCATGCGGAATATCTTGAATCGTATATAATTTCGTTCAGAAAAACGGAGGACCCTTAAAACATAAATTACTATGGAATCAATTAAGGAAGTTTTGATAAACATGTCACACATTACAATTAAAGTTAGAAAGTACATGTGAGAGGAACGGACATAAAACATTGTTACATCTAGAAATGTTAAAATTTATAAAGTTCAAAAAATGATACGTACAAATTGCAGATATTTTCTTTAATAAAGAAAACTTTATATTAATATATTTTTTTTCTTTGTTAAAAAAAAATTGATTGGAATTTACACAATCCAATAATAATAAGATAGTAATAAATTAACGGGAATTATAATGTTTGAAAATATGACACTCAAATGTTTTTTGTTGGCGGAATTGGCTATGATTGGTCTCGCGATGATTACCTTAGTAGGATTTATTCAAATTGTCATACATAGAACCTGTATAGTTTATATAATTTATATGAAACAATTTAGGAAAGATTTTCATTAGTTACATAGTGACATAAGCAAAGCCGGAAATAATGAGGATTTGCCGAAATCTTGGTGTTTTCAAAACAAATATTGCATAAAAAAGACGCAGTATTATAAAATTAGAAACATTAACTAAGCGAAAAAGCCATCAAATAGATTGACATTATGCATTCATAAAGATAGATAACAAATAAAATTGAACAACCCTTTTCATCTTCAAAATGATATGCTTGAACACGCGACCCTGGAAGTGAACGTTAACTTTCCTATTTAGATCTTATATACATTTAATATTATTAATCTTATGAATCTGTCACATTTAATGCATGTTAGTTGTACTGAAGATCGCGGATTAAGATGACCCGATATACGAAGAAATTGGCCGTCTGTTGATCATTGGTTCGACTAATAATAATAAAGCATGAAAAAAAAAAATTACATATCTGATATTTCACAAAATATAAAAAATTATAATATACGTATCCACGTTCTTTTTTTTTTTTTTTTATACGCATTCAATGAGACATACATAGCTAAAACAATGCAATAATATGTAAAGATGTAGGGTCGCGTCATATAAATACACATATACACGATTTTAAAATTTGTTATCGTGTTTAATTTGTTATGCAGGAATTTTTATTATTATTATTATTATTCATTATTATTATTATTATTATAATTATTTAAAATATTTAGAAGATTGTAATATGTAGCATTATCATGTGATAAGACATTTTTCGCGGTATACATATAACACGTTTCGTTATCACACTACTACTGTATTACTGTATTACTGTATTACTGTATTATTGTATTATTGTATTAATAGTATTAATAAATAGTTCCAACTTTATTTTTAGCGTTATGTAAAGAAAATTTATAGTGAGTTCCAAAACAATGTTATCATAGTTAGAATAAAATTTTAATTTTAACAGAATTACAGCCAAATCAACCGGTTAATTATCAACATTTGAATACTAAAAATAGTTATTGCACATTAAAGGAAGGTTCGACGTAGAATAATAATAAAATGGTTGGCGGAATTCCCGGGTAACAGGTAACACAAAACATTTCGTATTTCTATAATATCATAAATATCATAAATCGCTGAAAATACCGAGAAATCATATGTGCATAAGTACGCGTATTTATTTTGTTCAAATTTATACATGGCTGAGATCGCTGAAATTGTTGAGATTGTGAGATTGTGAGATTGTGAGATTGTTGAGAAAGTTTTAACATTTTACAGCTCACGTGATTAGAGATCCTAATGTTTCCGAATTCAGGAATTCGGGAATTCTGACGTACGTAACTAACTTAACAGTTCACGTGATCGTGATAATTTATTTGTTCCTTTTTTATTTGACTTGTTTATTAATTTTACCATTTTAACTATTTCTACCGTCTGACAATTTTAAAGATCAGTTATCATGTGGCTTATAATGTAGAATTTTAACAAGTTGACAAAATATTTATCGTTATTATTTTTAATTAAAACTTTTTGTGGAAGGCCTAAATAAAGCAAAAGTTGCGAAAAAGGTTAAATTATTTCTACTTTTCCGACCGTTGGTGATCAGGGGATGATTGATTGATAAACAATCATTGAATACACAAAATATCAAAATATTATAACCGATAAATTTTATTAGTAAAAAAATTTAAAAATTTATTAATTGCAAACAAAAATATTTGGTCACGTTTCCTTTTTTTTATTGGCTATTACAGTATTATAAAATTTTTTACATAATCTTCATAATCTTACTATGTTTAAAAAAACACGAGGATTTTTCTAACTTCTAACTTTAAGGTTATCTGATTAGTTTGATCGAACAACTGTTGGGGTTATTGCCTATATCGTATATAGTATAACAGTATGCGGATCTAAGATTTTAACAGTTCGATCAAGTTCTATGTAAACCATCTTATCGGTTTAATGAAAACGTGATTCATAAAAAAAAAAAACGTGTCAAACATTTCTAATTCATGTCTCACGAAACTCAACTCTAAACGATAATAAACCTATTCAGGTTAGTAATTTAAGTCGGTATTTTTGTATTTCACTCACAATAACAACATACAGTATTTTTCTTATATAGATTTTTTTTTTTTTATTAAGTCAATAATGAACCCCGAAGCCATTTATTTTTTGTAAACAATTAAAGGAAAAAAAAAAAAGAAGTCTAACCCCTAATTTGAAACATACATGAAAAAAAATACTAAATCTAAGTTGAATAAAAAAAATATCTAACAACTTCAAATCAATTGTGTGTTAAATATTTTTCGTTTTTTTTTTTGGTTTTTTTTTTTTAACCAGCAATTTGAATTGATAAAAGAAAAGGAATTACAAAAGAAAAGAGTAATGAAAAAAAAATATAAAAAAGAAAATAAAAAAAATAAAAAATCTTACAACGTAGAAAAAAACTTACAAATCTTGCAACTGGTAATGATTATTGCTATTTTACGTCTTGTTTTGTACATATGATTGTGCAAATAATCTAAACGCGTCCCTGCTTAAAATATCTAAAGAAGACAAATATATATATAAAAAAAGAAAAAAAAAAGCACTAATTAAAACAATCCGAATAATACAAGAAAAAAAAAATGAAAAATTTTTTTATTTATTTACTATGGATAGTTGAAATAAACACTTGATTTATGATGAATTTCATACTCTGACTCTGATGACAACCTTCCATAATAAAATCGTTACGCTCCCTTATAATAAAAAAGAAAAAGAAAAAATTTTTTTTTTGAAAATAAAAAAAACAAATTGTCCGTCATAATATACTATGTACTATATATAACAATTTCTAACCATCTTATTGCTTATAAAGGCTTGTGATTCAAATTCAATAAGCGTAAGTAAAAAAAAAGAGACAAAAAAAAAAGGATGGCGAATGATGAATTGTTCCATTCACGGAGATTTTAAATTTTTTTTTTTTTTTCATATCGAGGAAAGGGAATTTATATTTAATCCCATAACGTTCTTAGCATTGGCAGTATTAGCAGATTCAGCAGCTTTACGTTCTTCTTCCTCACGTTTTTGGCGTCGCCATTGTTTCCGAAGTTCTTTGAATTCTATTAGATATCAATAAAAAAAAAAAAAAAGATAAAAATTTATAAATAAAATTATATAATCAATTTATAATCAAGTTATAAATATGTATAAATAAAATATAAATATAATATAAATATAAATAAAAAATCTATATTAAATAAACTATATATATAACGAATTTAGTTATATTTCTTAATAATAATAATAATAAAATTTCAAGGCATATCAAGAAATGGCATAAAAAAGGATATATAATATTACACGTAGGTAAAAATAGAATAAACTTACCAGAAGGATGTCGTTTTGGTCCATGTTTTTGCATTTGTACATGTGCGTTCAAATGATTGAGAGTACCATAACTTTTTGTACATCCAGAATAACTACAAGCGTAATGTCGTTCAATTTCATCATATCGTCGACGAGGTCTTTTCTTAGTATTAATGCCTGGTAAGGCAACAAACGAATATACTTTTTGTGGTCGTTCACCATTAGTAGCTTGAGAAATTGTATCACTACCATCATCTGATCTACCATTTCTTCGATTATTTGGCGAACGTTGTGTTGTAGGCGCTATCAAACTTCCATTATTCATAGATTGCGCAGCAGCCATAAAATGACTATTAAGTAAAGCTTGATGATGAGCAGCATTTGCCGCACTATGATGATAACCAAGAGAATTTGGTACTATCGGTGAACCTGTAGATGAACCAGCACTCATAGGACTAGTATCAGTAGCACCAACAGTCAAGCCATTTGTATTAATAGCGAGCATTGATGCATTATTTCGATTTCTACCTGTAGGATCTATACCATTAGAAAGAGCTTGCATTTCAGAAGCACTTGCACCAATACGAGGTAATGTACGAGGATCAGCTATAGGAATGTTTGAAGCAATTTGAGGTTGTTGACTTTGTGAAATCATTGGTGCGGCGGAGTAAGCGACAGTATCAGTAACTTGTTGAGCAGCAAAAGAAGCAGCCGCAGCAGCGTTTACATCAGAATATTGTGGAATAGTTTGAAAGAAACCAGAATGAGCAGCAGCTGAAGTCATAGGAATATTTGCACTTGTTTGTTGTTGTGATTGAGCTTGTGGAATGATTTGAGATTGAATTGGAGAAGCAGATGATGAATTTTGTTGAGCAGGATGAGCAGAAGAAGTTGGAAATACTTCAGATAAAGGAGGAAGAATATTGGAAGTATTATCAGGAGATAAAGTAACAGTTGATGCCGATCCAGAAGGCATCATTGTTGGAGAAGAATGATTTTGTTGAATAGGAGAAGCTTTTTGTACGTCAGATGGATTTGCCATAGCGTTTGTAGTATTAACAGATGATTGATAAAGATAATTTGTATCTATAGCGAACGAAGTATCAGCTGGTGAATGCCTTGATAACGATGAAGTAGAAGGTGATCTTGAGTGATGAGAAGTGGAAGTGTAGGTTATGTTTGGGTAAACGAATGACTGTTGTTGATACTGAGTAGCAGTTTGATACATTGAAGAAGGAATATGTTGGGGAGGAATTGTAGAAAAGTTTCCAATAGAAGTGCTAGCTAAATCGAGACCCCTTGTATGAATATCGTTATGAGATGGTTGTAAAACGATCATTGAAGATGAATTTCAGCGATGAGTTAATAAAGAAGATTTTTCAAAAGAAATTTGTTTGTGTGAATCTTTTTTTTGAAATTTTTGGGTAATTTTTTTTTTTTGAAAAAAGTAAAATTGGATTTTTAAAAAAAAATAAATAAAAAAAACAAATTTACACAAGATACAGTTGCGTGATCTGATAAAGAAGAAAAAAAAAACGCGCGATTTTGCTTTTTTTTTCTCACTTGACCGTAATTCCCAACTTTATAGTATTGGCACAATTCGTTACTTCGCTGAACGATAAGCCAAAACTAAATACCACGAAAAGGATTTTTTTTTATAAAGATCGTTGAGAATTATCTAGAGTTCTAAAGTCGAAAATAAAATCGAAAATAAAAATACACTATTCGTTTTGAGTTATAGTCCACCGTCTGACCAGGAGGAGACTTAAATTTCTGTTTGTTATTTAATATATTTTTTTTTTTTTAATTTTTTTTTTTTGGTTGGTTTGGTTAATGTCTATGCGAACTTAATAAACGAAATGTTTTATCATTAAAAAAAAAAAAAGCTAACGGTTTTTTTTTTTAAAAAAATTTTAAAGGATTTTTTTTTGTTTATATATATATATTTTTTTTAATTTATTAAAAGTAAATGAGAGAATTATTCGTAAAGGAAAGAATAACCTCAGTTATATATATTATTTTTGATGCATGTCAACTAGAACTATAATAAAAATTAAAATAAAATAAATATAAATATATATGTTTTTATGTTGATACAGTAAAATTCAGTAATTTATATTAATTATATATGTATATGTATATGTATAATAATAATACGTATATATATATAATTAATTTTAAACTAAACTAATAAAAATTTGTAAATTGTGAGACTTTACCGATCGATAAACCTTGTGATAACTGAATAAAAATAATCCGTCCTTTTATTTAGAGGAACAAGTACGTCCACGGGAGCAAAGAAATAGTTAATTTGATGATCTTTCTGATTTGCTCGAATACATTAATTGCTTTATCATTGTTTATATTACAAACTATAGACGAAATTTTATAATAGTAAATAATAATAGTTAGTAGAGAAATAAAAAAAAAAAATGATGAACTAAAAGGATTGATAAAGGTCTCGTAGTAAAAAGAAAGACTTTTTATTTGCTCATTTGGTGAACAAGAAGAGTAATTATTTTTAAACAGTTTATCAACAGTTTATTATAAAATTCAAAGAGACGAAAGAGAGAGAGTTTTTTAATCTACTTTTTATTTAAATAAAATCGGAATTCTTTTTGAATATAATTATGTAAATTATATGTAAATTATCAGATATTCGGATAGTAAAAAAAAATAATTGAAAACTTTAAAAAACAAAATTTCACTCGTCATAATTTATTATTATTAATAATCATATATATAAAAGTATATAAAATAAAAAATTTGGGACATTTGTATGTAAGTTGTATAAATTGTATGTACAACTATGCCGATTTAAAGTTGAGTTTTAAATATTATACGTATCAGTTATTAATGTCTGGGTCCTTGTTAGTTAAATATATACAGCATAGACAGATGAAGCATATTGTATATTGTATCGTGTGAGTTGAGTAAAGGTATAAATTAAAGGTATAAATTAAAGGTATAAATTAAAGGTATAAAATAAATTACAAGACTAAAAGATCAACTATAAACTATTTTAAGATGTTAATTAACAACTGGGTAAGTCATAATGATATAATAAGTTGTCCCTCGTCATTCTTGCATACAGTCAATTGCCATGTTTCAGTTGTAAAGTTGTTATAGGAGTGATATCATTTAAAATACCGGCATCACTTTCCGAATTTATCACCAAGGTTGTCACATAAATAATTATTATTACTTGATATGTAAATATATTATAATTTGTATCATGTGTGATAAGAATGATTATATATATTATTGACCCTGAGTCAGCCCGTTGATATTGATATGCCGCATCCTTTCGTCATAATTACCGCACTTGTTTTGAACATGAGAAGTTATTTATTTTTGGCAAGAGAAATTTATCTAAAATATTGATATAATATTATATAATATTGATACAATATTTGATTTTCTTTTCATTATTAGTTCGCTGTTTGTTTCATTCCCTGGGCTTACGTACGCCAAAAAAAATGACGATAATCTATGGATTAGAGAGACGTCATGGTGAAAAATAGTGAAAATAGTGAAAATAACCGATGAAAAGATCAAATTAATCCATTCGCACGGTCAATGATAATGTGATAATGTTGATAATATTGATAATGTTGATAAACTTATACATCAGTTTTTTTATTAAACAATTAACCTTTATTTTCCTGACATGACGCATTGGCCCTGATTTTTTAAAGACTTGCTTTAAACCATACCGATTAAAGTAAAGTAAAGTAAGGCAAAGGTGTCTATCTTTTGAATTACATCTCACATATATAAAATTTCTTTATTCTATAAAATTGTATTATAAAAGAAGAAATTTATTATTAATATAATCTTTGTCATTTGTGTGTGATTCAAGTGATGATATGAAACGATAAACCCTTATTCAGATATAAATATAATTTGGTTGCGTAGCACCGATGTAATTTATTATTTTTTTTGTTGTTCGTTTAATGTGCATGTGAATATGAGAATATATGAATATATATGAATATGAGAATATTAGATAGCATTCATGTAAAAAGATTCAAAACTTTAGACAAATTTTGGTATGTTCGTGGTTTGTTGAAGTTTGAATTTTGTAACACTACAATACTAACTCTAATATAGTGTGCAACGCATTTATTTATGGGTCCCTTTCACAAATTTTAAATGCCGGAATATTATATATACTGTATACGTAAAACGTAAAACGCACGCATACATAATTACAATTAATTATTGGATTTGGAATTTCGTCGGATTCTCCGACGGATTGTTCAAAACTGTAGTATTAGAAAATATTCATTTTTAATGCTTTGCCATTTCACTAACATAACGAATAAAATAAAATAACGAATAAAATAACATAACGAATAAAATAACATAACGAATAAAATAACATAACGAATAAAATTGATAGGTTTTAAACTTTTCCAAATAATTATGTCAAATGAATAAATGCTAAGTAATACGTTAAATTTTCTTTGGTTAACAATAAGTTAAAAAAAAAGTAAATAAATAAAAATTAAATTTTATACAAACAATAAAAAAAAAATGTAGAGTCGTAGTAGAGTAGTAGAGTAGTAGAAGAATTACAGATAAGAATTACAGATAATATCAATATCGATATCCGTATATCAGTATATCCGTATGCTGGTATGGCAAATTTTTTTTAGTAATGTTAGATAGTCATTATGACATTAATATTTGACAGGTAAAACATGCCATAGTAATAACATTTTCTTCCCAAATTTAATTATGTTTTTCAAAAAAAAAAGTTTTTTTTATAACAAAATATAAATGTTACGATCTGCTTTGATTATGAAAGCCAACTTGTGAAATAATGATGTCACCTGTTTTGGTCCGGCAGCAAGCATGGAGTCCGTAATTTGTTGATTTGTTATTGATCATCACAAACACTATCACAACATATTATATTAAGAAGTTTAAAAAAAAGTATAAAGACCTTACGTATTAGTTAGCATTAATAAAAAATTATTAATGTAAGTTATACGTATTCTTTGTATTATTATGTATTTGTACAGTATTAACATTATTAGTGTGTTAATGTTTTTTAATTTTAAATTCATTTTAACAGTTAACATTAATTTCAATAAAAAAGTTAATGAAAAATTTTTAATTTAGATAAGAATTTTTTTTTTTTAAAAAAAAAAAAAGTTTTTATCTTTACATATCGGCATAATAGGATCTTCAACCACATGGTACACTCTAGCAAAATTCAGTAAAATCGCAAAAACAAGGTTTAGTGGTGAATTGGACACCTTTAAAATCTCCTTATGGTTAATATTGATGAGCAGAGATATTCGAATGTAAATAAAACTGTCTATCAATAAACTTTGATTGCTAATTTTCTCTTTAACGAAAATGTAATAGCTCGAAATAATAATATTTACTCAAAATTTATTCAAATATCACTTGTATCTCCTAATTCTAACAATTATTTCACATGTACATACGTACGAACATATATATATGTACGAGAACGCGAATTTATTATGTAAAAAAATATGTAAAAAATGTGTAAGAAAATAAAATGCAAAAAAAAAATGTACGACAATCAAAAAAAAACACACACATCAATAATAATAAAAAATAGAAAAAAAAAATCCACCGATGCCCGATGACAAAAGTCTGTACCGACTGTAAGTGATCAATAGTTTGCAAACAGATAATGTAATATTAAATAGGTATTGGTGTACGCTTAAATTGGTATTACTGTGGAAAATTGGTATATACATTTAATATCACATTTAAATATTGATTAATAAAATGTACCACAATTAAAAGCATATTTATTCAGTCATACATTGTTAATTAATTTCCAAATCTCAAATTTTACTTTTTGATGACTTTTTAATCGTTCTTTACCGAGCGATCTCTTGTGCTCGTTAACTTATTTTTAAACAAATTCTTTGTCGTGTTGTTTTTTTTTTGAAGTTTTTCTTTGTTAACGGAAATTTTCGGTAACTCCAAGCTAACATCCGTGGTTTTTTTTTTATTCATACAACTTCTCAATTTGGAAACGGTGGTGTAATATGATTCATCAATAAAATCAATAAAATCTATAAATTTATAAACTGTAAAAAATTGAATTGTACGTATAAACTTCTATTTTATAATGAACCGATAATTTGGTAATAAGAATCTTCTTTAAAACCGTAAAAAGAATCTTGGCCCTTGGCAGCATCTTATCTGTTATTTAAAATGAATGCACCCAAAAATAGAATCTTGTTAAATTTCAAGCATTCAATATATTCAATATTCGTTTATTTACCAATGTTTATGAAAAACATTTCAGTTATTACGTCATTCTATAAAAGGGGTTTATATACC